TGCATCCTCTTCTGTGAGTCTGAGTAGGTAAATATCATCCAGGAATATTCTGGTAAAGAGAGTGGGGTGAATAAAAAGAAGCAGTTGAAAAGCTATTCTTTTTACCATCAGACTTTATTTTTAATACAAATATGTAATAAAATAAAAGTTACCCAAATATCTTTTAAACAAGAATACATTTTTTCTGTATATCAGGCCATCATTTACAGATTAACACTGCAAACATTTTGAATTAATAACTCTTAATTCATTTTACATAAAATTATGTGAAGTAAACAAAAATTATATGTAGGATGAGAACCAACAAATAAGAACCTATTCAAAGCCCTAAAATCTTGTCTTTGTATTAATTCCTTCACAGTTCCAAGATCACACACATCTACAAAAAGAAAGTAGCGATGCTTAACATTGAACATTATTTACAAAATAAATTCACTTCTCTCAGTGACTTTTGATTCCACGGGTCGGCCCAACACACAAATTGTGGTGCCTCCTTAACAGAATCTGAGCTGCTATACTGCTCCAACCGAGGGGGGCATTCTTTGCCCTGGAAGGAGGGATTACACCAACTCGTAGTATTTCCCAGTCTGGGGATCAAAGTAACAGTTCAGACATGGGTCATACAACAGAGTCAGCACTTCCTCATCCTCTTCCACATTCAGCTCGTCTTCACCTGTGGGGGAGGGGAACCACAGACACGTTAGCTGCCAACTGGCCCGGAATTTCTACAGCTGTAACAAGAGAGGGGCAAGGAAGCAGGAACCACCCTCTTTCCTGGAAGACTTGCGATATTCGATATTCGATATTCGAGGAGAACGTTTATGCTGGAGCAGAGGAGTGCGGCGGAAGCGCTGAGACTCTGTGTACGCAGTGTGAGATGGAGAAGAAACGCCCAAAGAGCCCAAGGACCAGCTTTAGTCTAAAGGATAAGGGAGACTGTCGATAACTGGCAGGGAGGAGATGCAGGAAAGGAGAGGGTCAAAGGACTAAAGAGTGTTGCTAATCAGGGTCAATGCCGTTTGGAAATGGAACATAACAAAGCAGACAGCATATACAGAAAACAAAACGTCAGGGGATCTGTAGTTTTATTAGTGCAAGGAGGGTCTGTCAGTTTGCTGGAATAGAAGCCCGACTTGACGCTTTTTTCCTGTGACAGCCATTTAGATGGCTTAGATCCCACTGCCTAATCGACATCAAGGTTTAGTTGGTTTCCAACAAACTGTGCATGAAATGAAAA